AAGAAGGGGGAAATCCCAATCACCTGAGCAAATTGTGCCACAGGGGCAGAGAAGTCTGATTTTGGAGGAAAAGGAAGAATATGGTCAATAAGTTTCTCGCCAGAGTCCATCCATCGAGTAATCCAGAAAGCTGTGTTGCTACCATTCCGGATTTCCTCATTCCAAACTCCACCGTTGGTAGGGCTGCCATGATCCCACGCCAAATCACCGGTTTGAAAAAGGAATGTCGATGTCAAAATATTATCTCCTGATTATACTTAGTTTGCAGTACCTGCACCCACAATGTTTTTATAAGGAATTGAAAACCCAATTTTACCATATACGCCTAATTAAACTATCTGGTTGAGCGGAGCCCCAAATCACCTTGTTATTTTGGCCGTCAGATGGCATCCCCAAGAGAGGAGGTGAATTTTCCTTTCTTCAACGGTGATACCTAAACAAAATTTCTGATTCTTTTATTAATTTCACCGCAAATAGTACTTTGCCACGTCATTAATTATCAAACTTGTAATGTAAGCGATCGTTTCATGCTTTCATTTAATATTTCAAATTGTGAACGTGACTTGTACAGCTGCACCTGTTTTACATGAAAAATATCTTTAGTTTTAGAAAATTGGTCAAAAAAATTGAACATAGCTTCATAATCACAAATTTCGAATCCATATTACACAAATCAAACTTGATATTGTGGATACCTTAAAAGTTGGATTCGAGATTCCTTTTGAGAGTATATGACAAAGCCTCCACTTAACAGTTAACTAATTCAATTCAATTTAACACAAACATAAATAGAAACACGCACATGTCAACTTACTTTTTGTATTGAAATTTTAGACAATTAGCTTATTTAGGTTTTTGTATTCATCTTATCTACTTTGTTTAATGATTTTTATTAATTATATCGTAATCAGTGTTACTTTTTGTGTAATAATTTTTTTCTAGTTAATAATTACGGAGTATTTGTTTGTCAATGATTAGTTCTTAATGGACCTATATCAGATTTATTGCTCATGTGTATGTTCTTCAAACATAGAAATACTATACGTTTGATCCCTCGTTTATGTCATATTTTTAAATGTAGTCTACTTTTTTTAAGAAAAAATTGGTAATGTTGTTCCTTAACTGTGAATTGCCCGATTCATTTCCATTCATTCACGTACTGGAAGAAATTACAAATTTTTTCATTCACGTTTCTTCCATTAATGATGTAGTAAAATTCGTTATCTTTTTTTTTTGAAAATTTGTCTCTTACGGAGTAATTGCTAAAGTACTTCGCCCTCCTACTTTGCAATATACTAGTACTAGTATTGGAAACAAATTCCTCGTCAATAATAATAATTTAACATAAGAACGGAGTAGGTTAAATTAAAAGGAAAAAACTATTGATACACATATTGTGTACACAAACAACTCGTTCAGAAACTCTTGTGTATGCATGCAACTAGGCATGTGTACATAATTTGTACATAAATGTGTACAAATTATGTGTACAACTAATGTCTCTCAATTATTAAAGTCATTCAGTCATTCACTATAATTACATCTTGGGAGGATATCTGTAAATTAAAAGGAATGCACAATTTTGGGACCGAAAGAACAACTTTCCCTAAAAATTATTATAAGCCTATTTTTCTAACAATGAAACTTCTTTAAATGGTCTGAAACAATCACTGATCCCACATTGAATAAGAAGTGCATAATTGTTGCATGGAAACACAATTACATTATAATGAAATTTAATGCAAGTCAGTCATGTTATTACGGAGTATAAAAGTACTCCGTATGAGAAGTTCTTGTATTTCCACAAAACAATTACTGGCATGTTTGACACTTCAAAAATGTCAGGCACATTAACTAACTCCGGAGTACATAAAATGAAAAGATATGGTCTTTTGCGTGTCGTCCTATAGACATTTGAAAGTAGATCGATACATGCAAATAATATTTCAATAATAAATGTATCTAATAGATTGACATATTTTTCACACATTACTAATTTTCAAACTAGATTGATACCATGTAAATAAGAAATGTACGTATCTAAGAGATTCATCTTCCTCCGTTTTTAAATAAGTGTAACAGTTAACATTTCACACTTGCCGAGACACAACTTTGACCATTAATATACGGAGTATATAATTCTCTATTAGTAAAAAATTCAAAAAAACCAGTTTTTGAAAATTTACAATGGGATAAATTTAATAATATATTTTTCAAAAATATATATTAATATATCAATAAATAAAATGTAGTCAAAGTAGATCATGTGAATAGTGCACTTATTTAAGAACGGAGGTAGTATGATATATGAATTGTATTTTTTCTATCAAATAAACAATATCAAGTTTAAACAATGTCATTTCATTCATTTCAAATCTCGTATGGCATATTTATATATCGCTATTAAGGTCGATAAGGCAAAAAAATAATGTGACACTGAACACGCACACAATCATAAATGATGGACGTATAATATGATTAAGGAAGCACGTTGACATGTCTAATGACTTTGTTCGTATAGATAATATTATGAACATACCCTATGGAAAATTCCATTTGCATACATCTATTTCTAGATATCTTCTACATTCGATGATAGCTAGGGAGGGGCCCCGAGTACATATATACTCCCTTCGTCCCGCAAATATGTTCCCGCTTTCCTTTTTTGGATGTCCCAAAAAGAAGTTCCCTTTCCCTGAATGGAAAGTTATCCTACATCAAAACAGTGTCAAACAGTGCAAAACAGTGTCAAACAGTGTCTAAACAGTGCCAAACAATGTCTAAACAGTGTCAAACAGTGTCTAAACAGTAAAGTCAAATTTATTTCCTAAGTATGTGTGTAGGTCAAACCGGGAACATCTTTGCGGGACGGAGGGAGTATATTCATAAAAAATGAAAAACACAATTAATTATCAAGTCCAATAATATTTAGAAGTATATAAAAAGTCTAAAAGTATTGCCACTAAAATATTCAAGATGCTAATGATGAAATAAAGACTTAAATTTTTACTATTGGAGATTAATACATTTGCTCATCAAATAGTGGTGCACTTGAATTTTGTTTTGTCTAGGAAGTGCACTGGTGACACCGCTACAGATTTAGGGAGCATTTGTATGAAAAATGGTTTATAGTAAAAGTTACGTAGTTTTTGAAAAGAAAAGTGATTTTCAATAAATAAAAAAATTGATTTAAAAATGTATTTCGTGTAATAAGAAAAATGCAAAACATGTTTGCTTCTAACTTTTAGTTTAAAACGTCTAATTTAAGTAGAATCATTATTTGCAAACACAAGTTTGAACTTTTTTATAGCTAAATTGAAAATTATTTTTTGGAGAAAACGCATCATTTATAGCGCATTTCCCAATTCCCCTTATCTAGTTTGGATGAATATAGCCATTAGCAACTCCAGCGTATGCCTAATTTTTTTTTACTTCCTGCTGAATTGATATTAGTGAGATATTACCCATTATTGGGCATTGGAAGTCTATAAACGTTATAACGAAGTATATATGGGGTAATTATGCGCCAGTGCGCCACAATTATTAAAATTTAAAAACAATTAAATTTGGGGGGAATGGCTCTCTTGACCAGGGGCGGAGCTACTGGGGTCGGGATGGTCAGCCGACCCCGCTAAAAATTTAAGAGTGTAGAACTCTGAAATATCTTCGATTTGATATATTATAACTCTCGTAACTCATTACGAGTAAAAAGTTATGACTTCTGCAAAATTAGCACTATTTAAGTTTGAAATTAGTAAAATTGTGATGCGTAATACGAGTATTAATTATTTTGTTAATTATATTCACAAAATAGCGTGTAATTCAAATGTTTCTTTTCTAATAAGAAATCTCGATACTAAACCGAGTAAGATCGAAGAGAACCATAGAGTACTAGGGTAAGACAATGGGTCTCATCCGAGGTACTCAACTCAACCCGTATAAAACAAGTTTATAATATATGTGACATATACGAAGTATATTAACTACATATACTCTATTAGCTTCATTTAAACTATCATTTATCTAAGCTACATTCAATTCAAGTATTGTCTAAAAATAATCTACCGTTTTGATTCTATGTAAATTTGATTTCGATCCCGCTGATTCATTGATCACAAACTATTCATCTAAACATGCAAAAAACTGTACATAGACGAGATATATCTAAACATGCGCAAATGGGCATGTACAAATGCGCTGTATACACCAATAATAGTTCTTGAAATTAAAGTTTTAGAAGGAATTTATTGGTTATATTGTATGGGTATTAAATTTCCAAGTATTCAAGATTATTATCTTAAAGGGGATAATTTAAATACCTCAAATTTTAATGAGATGTAAAATAAATACTCCAAACTGTAACATATATGTCCTGAACTTTATATAAAAATTGACTTTGGCACCTTTATTGTATGTCATTTTACAAATACACATTTATATAATTACATAATTTGAAATAGTCTAATCTTTGTAATAGTGCAGTTAACATTTTAAAATTTCATTTTTGAAATAAATGATACCACGTATTACATCCGATACAAATTAATTTTAATTGCATCCTCATAAATATTTTGTGTATTTCAAATTATGTACTTAACATCATAAAATTATATTTATGAAAAAATATATGATAAATGTGATGGTCCCAGATAAAAATATAGAGGGGTGAATAGACTTTTAAAACTTTTTGATTTAAAGTGTCTACGATACATGCATCATTAAAATCAAGAGGGACCGAATAAAATGTACTTATATAAATTTTTTGTATAAAACTTAGAATATACATATTATACGTTCAAATTTGAAGTACTTATCTCACACCCCTTCAAATTTTGGGATAATTTAAATTATTTCCTCGGCCTTAAATCATATAATTTCAATTTTTTTTGGTCAAGATATAATTTCAATTTGATTAACACTCTTAAGCACTATTTGAATAAAATAAGGTTGGTGGAAGTCATTATGCGAGCTCTGACAAAAAACATTAGAGATTCCTCCGGTTATAAAAAGACGGGAGTGGAGAAAAAGGTGGCGGTCGGAGTGGTGGAGGTGGTGTTGGGGGGCGGTGATGCCGATTCTAAATCTAAAAAAGAGGTCTTGGGAACATTCTATGAGAAAACATGGTGTTGCCGTGGTGGCTGTCAAAGATCAGCGACAACTCATCTTTTCCATGGCCGCTTTTTAAACCCCTCTCTCTTTTTCTTCCCTTCCTCAGGGCTAATCAGCTTTTCCTCTGGTTTTTGGTTTTTTAATCAGCTAAAGATAAGAGTATTAGCATTGTGGTGGTGGCCCTCTCAGGTCGGTTTTTTCTAGGCTTTGTCTCCCACAGCTATAGTGTGTGTACATATATTATATATTTCCAGTGCTTTGCACTTTGTTTCCACTGTTTTGGAATCATCCCTCTTTTGTATTGATTCTTCTCTCCACCTTTGCTGCTTATCTTGGACCATTCCATTGCAGTATTGCACTACCCTTTCACTGTCTACCTCTCTTGTGAGTTCTTGAGACCACTAAGCTCAAAGATTCCATCTTTTTTTTGCCTGTATCTGTTTTCTGTAAAGAGATAGCCTCTTTTCTGGGCCTTCTTTTGTATATTCTGCAAATGGGTCCTTTTTGTGTGTGTATGTTTGTTTCTTGTCTGCTCATTTGGTGCTAGTCTACAACTCTAACAGAGGTGATGTTTGTTTTCTGTCTCAGGTCCTAAGGGTCTTTTCCATTGGTTTTGAGAGGCCTATCTGTTATTTAGTTCTGGTTTCAAGAGTTGAAGTTTTCTTGAGATTATTGTGAAGGTGAAAGGAGCTGTCAAAATGAAGTTCATGAAGCTTGGGTCAAAGCCTGATCTGTTTCAGAGTGAGGGTGACAATATCAGGTCAGTGTTTTCTTTCTACTGTTGGGATTTTCTCCCCTTTTCCCACTTGTAGTTTGTTTTGAAGAAATAGAGAATGTGAAAAACTCCTACCATAGGTTGGTTATTTCATCTGGATAAATTTTATTTACAGAAACTTAAATGAACTTACTTTTATTGATATGACCTTGAACTTACAATCTCATAATTTCTTGTGATTAGAACAATATAGAGAATAATTGATCTAAACCCTGTAGAAATAAGACACCAGAACTTTTAATCTAATTGACATCATAATAGTAACATTGAAATTGTATTTTATTGAAATTGTTGAAATTATGTGTTAAGCAGATGAATTGATTGAATCTTCTTAATTATGAATATTTAAAATAGTTTATTAATAAATAAATAAAAATATGTGGGATATGACTATAGTTAAAGTAGTCATCTTCACCAATTTCAACTAATTCGGGCAAAAAAGTAACTTTAACCTTACTTATTTTGATTCTTGCACATAATTCAGTGCTCAAAATAAAAAATTATGTATTCGGTAAAAAAGTTCTGAAGAAAATAGGGGTTGCCAAATTGTCTCTAATACTCGGTACTAACTTAAGTCTAGAGTCTGATACTGTGTAGTACTATCGTATAATACTACTCCGTATTACTATACTTTTTTACTATTATTTCTATTTCTACAATTTAACAAGTATGGTGTGAATTATATCAGGTATGTAGCTTCTGAATTGGCAACTGACATGGTCATTGATGTTGGAAACGTGAGATTTTATCTACACAAGGTATGTAACACAATATGGGAATTTGCAATGTTAGCCTCTCAGTTATGTAGGCATCTTTTTGTAGATTTAATCCACTTGTTCTGCTTATTGGTGGAAAATAAGTCTTCTTCAACTGACTTATTTGGTTGAAATAAGTAAGTCCGAGTAAAAAAAGAGCAAGTCAAAGTAAAGAAGTAGAAATACAATATTTTTGTAAAAGAAGAATAATCAACTCTGCAATTCAACCATTTCATTCAAGTAACTCTTAATAAAACTGTCCTTTTTTGGATGAACCGTAAATATTTACCAAAAACAATCCTTGATTTTGCCATGGGCGGAGGCAACTAAAAAATTACTTTAAATTGATTATTTTACCCAATGCAGACTATTATACAGACCGCGTAGTTGAGACAAGCATCTTAGTGCACACAGACACATCTTATTAGTGAAATGACTTGATAAGAATTAAAGTAACAGTCCTCCTTTACAATAGTGGACTAAACTTGTTACAGTTGAGTGGTGTGACGAGGGATCATTTTTGCAAGGTAACAAATGTTGTAGTCATAAATCAGCATATCATGATACTACCTCCGTCCCAGGGAGAAGTTCCCAATTTCCTTTTTTGGCAGTCCCAACAAGAAGTTCCCATTTCCCTAAATGGAAAGTTATTCTACATCAAAACAGTGCCAAACAGTGCAAAACATTGTCGAAACAGTGCCAAACAGTAAAATTTACCCCCCAGTAACTTTATTTCCTTAATATGTGTGAAAGTCAACCCGGGAACTTCTCCCTGGGACGGAGGGAGTATTATATAATACAGTTCTGAAATATTGCTACATTTTTTACAGTTTCCCCTTCTGTCCAAGAGTGCTCGCTTGCAACGGCTGGTGGCCTCTTCAAATGGAGAGAACCCCGACGAGATTAACATCCCGGATATACCCGGTGGAGCTGCTGCATTTGAAATATGTGCAAAGTATTGTTACGGCATGACAGTCACTCTTAACCCGTACAACGTGGTTGCCACCCGTTGTGCGGCAGAATACCTGGAGATGAACGAAACAGCCGAAAAAGGAAATCTTATCTACAAAATTGAAGTCTTTCTCACATCAAGCATCTTCAGGACCTGGAAAGATTCTATCATTGCCCTTCAGACAACGAGATCTTTTCTTCCCTGGCCGGAGGATTTGAAAATCGTTAACCGCTGCCTAGACTCCATTGCTTTTAAAGCATCAATCAACCCTGCAGAGGTTGACTGGTCATATACCTACAACCGTAGGAAGCTTCCATTCCAAGACGGAAGCTTCCATACCCCTGTCCCAGATGACTGGTGGGTGGAGGATCTTTGTGAGCTTCATATAGACTTGTACAAACGAGTCATAAAGGGTATAAAGGGTAAAGCATCTGGTAAGGTGATCGGAGAAGCGCTGAAAGCATATGCTTATAGGAGGCTGCCAGGGTTCAGTAAGGGCACAATAAAAGGCAACGATCCTGTGAAGTGCCGGCACGTGGTTGACACCATTGTTTGTCTATTGCCTACTGAGAAAAACGGTGTTCACTGCAGTTTCTTACTGAAACTTCTCCAAGCATCGATCGCTTTGGAATGTGGAGGAACACAGAGAAGGGAGTTGATCAAAAGGATAGGATTGCGGCTGGAAGAGGCTACAGTGGCTGATCTTCTCATTCAAGAATCCATTGACATAGTGCAGGAAGTAGTGGAGCAGTTCGTGATGGGGGAAGGAAGTGATCGGGTTGAATGTAGACAAGACAACGTGTTTGAGTCAAATGCTTCGAAGACTAAGGTGGCTACGCTGGTTGATGGATACCTCATGGAAGTGGCAAGAGATCCTAGTCTGCCTTTGCCAAAATTTGTTGGTCTTGCTGAAATGGTCTCAGGATTCCCCAGGACATCACATGATGGAATTTACCGCGCGATTGACATGTATCTCAAGGTAAATTCTTTTTCTTCTTATTTTCGCAATCAGAGGATATCAATGTGTCACTTTTGTTGCCTAAATATGCTCAAGAAAGTAAACATAAGTCATGTGCACTCATCACACCACTCAACTGTAACAAGTTTTAGTCCACTATTGATTTTTATGAAAATATGACTGGTTCGATCTTAAAAAACAATAGTACTTACTATAGTGGCATCACGTTTTCATAAAAAATTAAAAACCCATGGATAGTTCTCTCTGAAGAAATTTGTTAGGCTTAGTCCTATGGTTTATTTCCCCCCTTGCAGGAGCATCCTGGGATCACTAAAAGCGAGAGAAAAAGAATATGTCGGCTAATGGATTGCAAGAAGCTGTCAGCTGAGGGGTGCATGCATGCTGTCCAAAACGAGAGACTTCCATTACGGGCTGTTGTACAGCTTCTGTTCTTCGAGCAACTACGATCCGCGACCACATCATCCGATGAGGTCAGCAGCAGCAGCACTACTACTACTACATCCAACCTACCAGGACGAGGGTCGCTCGGGAGCTCTAGGACCGTCACGGAGGGGGACGAAGATTGGGATAATGTTCGGCCTGTCCCTACAGCGGAGGAGGAAAAGAAGCTCAAAGCCTTAAAAGTGGAGCTTGGTAACCTGAAGCTAAAGGAAAGTGCAATATCGAAAACAAGAGCCGTTGCTTCGGACGAAGTGAAGAGTTTAATAATGTCAAAGAAGAAGAAGATATTCTCAAAGAAGATGTGGAGAAGTAACAAAGATGGACAAAGTGAAAACAGCAGCTCGGACACCTCAGACAGCCCGGCCGCATCAAGAAGCAGGCGGCATTCATTGTCTTCCTAGTTTTTGCATTATCATATTGTTTATGTTATTTTAATTGTGTGTTTGTGCTTAATTAAGTATGTAGAGCATCTAATTAAGGAAAAACAGCGTCTGTGTCTCGGTTTTGCATTCAATTTTATCACCTCTATTGCTAGAAATGTGGTAATATGTTTGTACCGTTGCATTAGCAGTGCTGTATAAGAATTTGTATTTCCCTGTTTATCATCAATATGTTGATTTGTTACAAAAATGATGTTTGTATCCACTCTTATACCCACTTTTGTACCCACATATGTTTGTGAAGTGTTTTATTTTTATTTGCACAAACAAAATATTGTCTGTGAATCGGGTTCACAAACAAAAAAAACATTTCACAAACATGGTGGATATAAGAGTGGGTACATCAAGCATTGTTGGACTCCATAAGAGAGTCACATATGGCTCCATAAAATTTTTTGTAGTAAAATAAATTTATACACCGGATCATGATATGATCATATGAATTATGAATACTCTTTTTTTATAATAAAAGGGCGGACATTATATTAAAATCGAGAATCCTATGAATAGATTTATAGTCAGTCACCTCGTCATATGAACACTCTTTAACAAATGTGTGTTATTTATGCTTGTATTTCTTTGTATATTTCAATAAAACGAATGTATAAGATTACTGTTATCTTTTGGTATTGAATTATGTATAAACACTTTCTATTGTTAGTGAATCAGGTTTAATATTCTTTTTATCCTTACAATTAGAGTAGCACTTTTGTTTACATATTGCAGTTTGTTTTTTTCTTTTGTTTTCATTCGTGCAATATATTCTATCTTCATGTTTCGATTTTTATAAGAGAGGTGGAGTTATTTATAAAACCTCTTAGTTATGCTTGTCTCATTGTCGAGTTGATGGTATTGTAGCCGGTGAGGGGAATACTAAAATAGTGATGAAAATAAAACAAAATAGAGACCTGAAACATCAAAAACATAATGTATGCAGGAACTATGGGTGTTTTTAACTTGGATTGATTCAGTCTTAGATCAGACCAGACAAGACCCGATCAGTTCAAACCAGACCAGATTTCCGTAGTTATAAAATACACAGAGACCAGAATTAAGTTTACCGGACGAAATCAATTCAGATTAGACCAAATCAGACCAACAAATTCATTCCAAGTAAAAACATACTATAAAAATCAAGAATACATTATAGATTTCATATTATAATACAAAGTATTATTTAAATAAATTTATTAACAAAAATGTAACTGAGTGCTGTAAATAAAATATCATAGTCAATAGAGTATAAACTTGGACATAATCGCATCAATTAATATAGTTACTAGTATAAATACTACTAGTACTTGACTCGCAAAATAATAATAATAATATAATCACTACTTATGCGATATCATTGTTTTGTCAACCAATTAACTTCATTTTAATTTATAAGTCATGGTTTCCTACACTTTGTTTGTTAGTTAGTTAGTTCGAAAGGCAATGAAATTGCCAAATCAGAAAGGATTTAGTTATTTAGGAACATGTCAAAATAAATAAATAAATAAATAAATAAATAAATAAATAAATAAATAAATAAATAAATAAATAAATAAATAAATAAATAAATAAATAAATAAATAAATAAATAAATAAATAAATAAATAAATAAATAAATAAATAAATAAATAAATAAATAAATAAATAAATAAATAAATAAATAAATAAATAAATAAATAAATAAATAAATAAATAAAAAGAAAATAAATAAATAAATAAATAAATATGCAAGTAAAATAAATAAATAAATAAATTATAGGAACATGCCAATTTGAGGAAGATGTGAAGTCGACCACTGTTGGTCCCTCAAACAAGTGTTTTTAGCATTAAAAATAAGAATGATACTTTTGATAATTTCATATGGACAGAAACTTAAAAAAAATGATCACCCTACTATCAATAATTCATGGGCCAAAGAATGACCCTCACCCGGGGCAGTGTTATCAATTAATTATTGACCCTCATCATAGCTTCCTTTCACACCAAAAAGCCATTGATTAGGTGTGAGAAATTAGATAGTACTCGCTCCGTAAGTTTAAAATCTTCCTATTTGAAAAGTAGGTAGATTAAGAATAGTAAAAGAGAATATGAATTATTGAAGGTATGATAGGAAAATAGTATAATAATGTGATGGAATGTAGGATAAATCCAAAAAAAATAGTTGTAATAATGTATTATTTTCAGAATTATTGAGGGTATGCTGAGAAAATTTAGAAATGGAAAGACTTTGTTAAATGTCCCACACCGGAAAATTGAGAAGCACTAGAGTGCTATATTAAGCTTCGGGCTACTCCTCCTAACAGGTTGACCTTTTAGGATGGAACCCCGGATCTTAACATGGTATCAAAGCCAAATCGATCCATGGTGTGGGGCCCTTTATGAAAAATGACAACACGATAAAAAAAATTGACGAACCGATGAAAAATGAATGACGACACGATCCAGACGAAGTGTCTGGTCGTGAGGAGGGGTGTTAAATGTCCCACACCGGAAAATTGAGAAGCACTAGAGTGCTATATTAAGCTTCGGGCTACTCCTCCTAACAGGTTGACCTTTTAGGATGGAACCCCGGATCTTAACAGACTTTTTTGTTGCGAACGAAAAGGAAAGTGAGAAGATTTTTTGTTACGAAGAACATACTAAAATGCAAGTATTCGATGCATATTTGGTTTACAAATGCAAATATTCGATTATGCATATTTGGTTGAAAAAAGATTGAGGTACACACAATTTGTACACATAATTTGTACACTTGTCTGTCCCTCACAGACAAGTTGTCTGTCCCGAGATGAGTTGTCTGTCCACACAAACAACTCATCTCGGGACAGACAACTTTTCTGTGAGGGACAGACAAGTGTACAAATTGTGTGTACAAATAGGGTTTAACAACCATTTGAGTGACCGAGTCCAAACTCCAAACACTTGGTCTCAGGAGCTCAGTAATTAAGGCACGATTTCCCGATCATTATGACTTATGAGATTGAAATTTTGATATCTCCCTTTTGCCATGAGTTCCCTTCACTTTTTGTAGGTACTACGTATATGTTACTCCCTCGTCCCCTTTTAAATATCCCGTTTTATCATATTGGGATGTCCCTATTTAATTGTCTCATACTTTATTTGATAAAATTTGTGTGGCTCAAAATCATTCTTACTTTATTCTTACTTTATCAATTAATATCAACTACACAAACCTACTTTTCTTAAAACTCGTGTCACCCTCTTTCGGGACATTTAAAAGGGGACGGAGGGAGTATTTGTCAAACGGAGTCAGGGGCGGATTTACATTATAATGAGGGTAAGCCTAGGCTCGACCTCAAAATATGTTGTTAGCCTAATTGGTAGTTGATGGAGTTAAATCCAACTACGAGAGCTAAATATACGTAGATATCAGAATAATATGGCAGCGTAAGGCAATTTACTCTTTATTCCGGAGAACTAGCAATAGTCTAGCCTCGGTCTCAAATCTTATCGGAGGTTCCATTCGGGGATCCCCCAATAGGGTGTTTACATCAAGTATTTATAGAGATTAGGGAGTAGAATTATGGGAGGAATCTAATACAATAAATGCTCAATTAATGAACTATATTCTTGCTTGAAATAGAATTCTTCGATGCTTGACTCCCACACGATTGCTTCCCCTTTTTAGTCGTCGTCCTCCGGATGAGTTCTGCCTGTTGCCAAATATCTATCAACGAGTGATAGCTTGCCACGTAAGCCCTAGGATATCCTGGCCTCACTAGAACTCCGCCCAGGCTCGAGGTCTGCTGTCCAGCCCGGCCTGGTTGTGGGTTCCTATCGTGGGCCTAATACCTAATGGGCTAAGTGGCTTTCAACCATGAATCCCGTTTATGGGCTAATCCTGTAATTAGGCTGGTCCTGTCAAGGGCCGATCCCGTTTATGGGCTAATCCTGTAATTAAGCTGGTCCCGTCAAGAGCCGATCCCGTTTATGGGCTGGACTACGTAATTGGGTCATGGTCTTAATCCATGGTACCATCACGAGCCCCCTACTCCTAAAAATTAGCAGGGCTGAATTTGGAGGAGTAGAATTGAAGCGGTTCATTAGATTTCAAATTTCGAATCTTTGTAGGCAGCTGTAGCTAGGGGTGAGCATTCGGTCGATCGGTCAAATAACCGACCGATAACCGACCAATGTTTTTCCCTCTCATAACCGACCGAAAACCGACCGACAACATTACAAAAACCGACCGAAAAGTGTCATTCGATTTCGGTCGATAACCGAATAACCGAACATAACCGACCAAAACATATATTTTTCAAAATTATAAAAGTTGTAGATAGCACATTAATAAATAAAATAAAAAATACCAAAATGGATTCAACATATTTAAATGTAAATAATTGTTCTTAGCACAATACGATTACAAAAACTAAAAAATCCCACGTTGAAACTACTTCATTGTTCCACAGTTGTCTTTTTCAATATGAAAACAAAATAAAAAAGAATATGTTAGCAAATAAATAAGCTAATATCTTATTAATCTTTACACCCCAAATGAGAAAACCCATCTAAAAGTTTCTGAATATTTTAAATCCCACTAAAGAAAAAATTAAAAATCAAAAGATCTGCCATGTTGAGTAAGATAATAAAGGATCTAGAAAACATTAAAAGAAAAAATGTGTGCAATTTCCCAACGATTAAATAAGGATTTCGGTTGATTTTTCTTTACCAAGGTTGATTCCTCCAGAACTAATGAAGGTGTACGTGGAGGTTTGAAATTTTGAACAGGGTGTTCCATGAATTGATTATAAGAATACAAGTTAAAGAAATGGGGAAGTGGATAATTGAAGAACGGGCTCCATAGCATTCCACTGATGAGTTTTGTAGGTGGAGTTCAATAGGCGTGGGCTGGACTTCATATTTCATTACTATGGAGTTCTTTTTTTATCGTTACTATGGAGTTATTAATTTATTATGGAGTATATTAATTATATTTACTTAAATATTTACAAAAAATAAAAAATAAAATAAAATAATCGGACGGTTATCGGTGACCGACCGATAACCGACAAATAAAACCGAATAAAAATCGAATAACCGAATAACCGATTATTTTTAATTTATGATAACCGATAACCGACCGAAAACCGATTTTTTCGGTCGGTTCGGTCATCGGTTTTCGGTCAGGTCGGTTGAATCGGTTATTTGCTCACCCCTAGCAGTAGCTCTGCCTTAGTAATTATTGCGCCGAAGTAGGCCTGCAGCTCGGGCTCAATTTTCAACCGGCTTTTCATTTCCCGATTTCTCGAATCTCCGGATGCGGTTTTCCCAAGCGTTTTTTGAACAGTTCTCGAGATGAGTCCCAAACGGTTCCAACGATTACGAAGCGTTTTAGGGTTTC